GGTCGCGGAAACAGCCTTCTGACAGCCGGGGGAGTAGTAAAATTATTATTAAACTTCAGTCATCAAGTTATTTATTAATGAGTAAAAATGTTATACGCTAGAGTTGATGCTGCAAAATCATCATTAGATCGAAATTAAATGGCAGTGAAGGTTCTTTTCTTCAGGTTCTTGTTAACTTTTGATATTTTTTCTCATAATCATTTTCTTTAATTGTTTGCATAATTCATAATTCATGCTTGAGCTGCACTCTCCTGCTTTGACTAGCAGGCTTTATGAACGGCTATCGTTTGTTGCGATCTGACAGTGACGATCCTCTAAAAAAGTAAAAATATACGGGCCTCTTGAAAAGTTGCACTGCCATCTCTGCTGCTCGAGCCTTGTATAAACAATTTGAAAACTGTTCACTCTAACAACTGCGTTACATATTTTTATGGCATGTTGGTCATCTGAGCTGTCAGGATCGGAAAACTAATTGCACTGTTCCAAAGCACTTTGCGAGATCTAAAATAGTCAAAGATCAATATGTCCGCGTTCTTAAATTTGATTACGAAACACTCAACCATTTCTTGTCAAGTCATCAGAGACTTTAAAAAATCGGTTTGGGGTCGTAACAACATGTTTGCTGCGAAGCTCGGCTCTTGTAAGCATAGCGATTAAGATTTTATGACCAAATCGTAATAGAGATTTTAATTGATCTTGGTGTAAATGACGAACGCTGGTATTGAAGATATCTGCTTTCTGCATATGCGCTTGAAATTCCCTCGGTCAGTTACATTCAGAATTAATGCATTGATAAACAAAGCACTTACGCTCGAGAGCAGGCTGAGCGGCAGTACGTATCTTAAAATTCGGTACGTATAGACTGTGAAATTCAATCATTCATTTTAGTGCTGTGATAGATAGTTATGCTGATGTATATTATGTTAATGCACATAAAAACTTTGCATTAAACTTTTAATGTCAGTAATCTTTAATATGCGTCTGTTTACGTGGGCATTTCCAGAACTGATATTTTACGTTTGTATTTGACTGTTTGCATTTTGTTTTGAGGATTTGGCAAGGCGTGTAAGGGTGGCTGACTTGCGGTTGTGCTTTTGTTGTCATCATGAGTGCAGCCGATTCGCCAAGCCGTCACGTCACCGTCGTCGACGTTTATGACTTGGCGTCTATGATTGGAAAGGATTTTGAGCGATTGATGGATCTATGTGGCATCGACAGTGTCGCCGAGCTTATGCCTAAGGTGCTTGCTCTACGAATAGCATGGAACCGCGTTGTAAAGCGATTGTCTAACCTTTGTCTAAAATAGGTTATCTCCGCTCTCGAATTGCTCGAGGCGTTTGCAATAAGAAACGAACGAGAAAACCACGAAATTCTGGTACTAAGAAACACGGTCGACCGCCTGGAAGCTGATAAGCGACAGAAAAAAATGGGAAAGCAAAAATTTGAAGAGGTTTGCGAACTACTGCTTTTTGAATGGTTATAGTTGCAAATTCAGAAACAAGATTGCTGTTTACTTTTTGACGGCGAGGAATGTTCATTGACAAAAGCAACTGGTTTTGCGGTAGCAATATCAGTCCACCTTATCAAAGTCAGGCTACCCCTCAATTAAACGCTTTTCAAGAATCTGAGGGGTTGGATTCAAGAGATAGGCTATTAATCAAAGAAAACGGAACTGCTGTTGCATATAGAGCGTATAATAAAGCTGATTTTAAGTACAGCTTGTAAAAATATGTTGCTGTGGTTTTTCACTGTAGTTTTATTAAATAGCAGTCAGTATTTTTTAGGAACTAGAGCAAGTTGAGGAACATTATAAAAACGAAATCAACCAAGCTTGGGAAACCATCCAGAAATTGCAGGAAGAAAATCGACGGCTCTCAACCTCTTTGGCTGCGCATGAAGATTCTCCTACTGAAAGTAGGTCATGCTGTTTTACTTCTGATAGACGATATAAAACGAGCTTGAATTTACACATTCTTATGGGATAGAAAATCCTTGGAATCTCTACCTAAAAGTCATTGCCTCCGTTTTATCGCTGATGTTATTTTTTGTTTTTGCGTACAATTAAAACAATTTATCACGTACAACTGCTTCGTCACTGGCATTGTGAGATCGATCTCATGGCTTCAGAATCCTATCTCTCCCCTTCTTTCCGTTCATGTGGCTGATTCTGATAACAGAACTGTGTGTAGATAATTGAAGTTTACCTTCGTTTGCCATCTGTTTTAAGTGTTTTTTCCACTCTTTTCAGCCTTAAGGTTTGTAGCCTAGCGATGACATGATTGAATGATGCTAATATCTACACTGGTTACATATTTTCTCAGGCCACAGTTTTTTATGTCTGATTTCGTTATAGATATATGTATGACGCTGTCTGAAAGCTGTTTGTTTTAGTATGTATTAAATACTAAATTTGATTTTCCTAGCAATGGCACCTAAACTTTTTACATGATCTTTTTTTTTTAATATAACATGTTTTTCTGCTGCTCTCTATAAGCTTTGCATGAGGAATCATAATGCTTCAAATCGTCTGTGTTCTCTTTCAGAAATATTTAGCGAAGATCCAAAGGTATTGTTTGATCTTCGTGAATCAGTCCAGCGTAGCCGCAAAGCAGCGCTGCTCCTTCAAAGGAGCTTGGAAGAAAAGGACGATGAAATCGACGAGGTACGTCAATGCATACACAACAGGACCATTCACGATACCTAGCATTATAATGATCCGTGAAACCAGTGCTTTATTTTCCCTGTACTAGCTTCCTGGGTATAGGCCCCATGCAGCTCTGTCTCTGAAATAAATGAAATGAAAAGCTCGTTTGTGCGCCCGTTCAGTTCTCCAAATGTTTTAAAGCGAGATTTGTTCCTGACATTTCTTCTTGCCTCTCAGTGGGCATTCTGGAAGCTCTTGGTACAGTTGAATGATTCGTTGCCTTGGATTCGTCAAGAGAGTGCCCGAACGAATGGCAGCCTCCACCTTTGGTTGATCTGGAGTGTTAGAATTTTCGTTCGAAAGGTGTCACTCCACCATCTGTTTTCTCTTGCTTTTAGTGACATTCATAAGTCTAAAGTAGACGACGGCAGGCAATACATAGCAGGACGGACCCACTTTCGCAATATTCAGTTTTGTCAGATGTTCGCTAACTTTTGAATTCTGGAAATGTTTTCTGTTAAAAGGACGATTACAAAAATGTACAGAATAAAAAAAATTATTCTTGAGTTTTCAAATTTTGATATCCTAATATCAACAATAATGGCATGAAGTTGTTACGATTTTGCGAAAACGACGGACTGTCTGTTTTGAACGTCTTCGAGCATCGAAGCGTACAGCAGTATGCCTGGTATAGGGAAGCTTGTTCACAGAAGTCCATGATCGATTTGATAATCGTATCGTATGACTTAAGACGCTCTGCAGTGTTGGCATTAAGAGATGCGCAAAGCTGTCAGCCGATCACTACCTTGTTGGTATGTTGCGCTGTGAGAAATGGAAAATCTGCGACGATTTCTTGGCTCTAGCAACCAGAAAATCGAATGGAAAATATTATCTTCGGCGAATACAAGAGAGAAACTTGCAAACAACATCGCAGACTGTTTCAACAGGTCCCGGTGATGTCCACTGATATGGAAACCAAGTGGGTGCTCTCCACGAGCGGCATACTCGAGGTTGCAGCGGAATGCTGCGGATTCAAATGGGTTGGTTTGCTTCCAGGAGGTCAGAAAAGAACCGGTGGACATGAGAGGCACAACTAGAAGTAAAGGAGAAGCCTGCATTAAAGAAATAGCTTTGAAGCAAAGAGCCTTCATCTCGCATGTAATATATAGAAGCGCACAGTACGGCAGCCAAAGCAGTGATGAAATCCAAAGCTGCTTCCTGGGAGAAGATTGGTGAAGTAGGAGTTGGAGTCGAATTTCCAGACAGCAAGCAAGGCTTTCTGGCAGACCACCCTTCAACTCCGCGGCGAAAAGAAGGGCAATCAAAGAGTCTCGAAGTACGTCTTTACATCCTCTTTCCCGGGATGAGGATAGTCATCAGCGAAGGCGAGAGTAGTTTGAGGAACTCCTTAACCCTGAGCCGCCGCTGGAAGACCAATGGGCGAACAAAGCTATGCCGGAGTGCACGTGTATGTCAAACTGCAGTGACTGCAAGGAAGACACCAGCGGATTGGATAGCGCGGTTGTGATACCTCTGTTCAATAATTGAGACCATATGGAGTTCTCCATTTTTTGCGTAATTGCCTTATTGAGCCTTCCGGATAAGGTCTACGCAAAGGTGTTACTTATGAGGTGCCGTGAAATAGCTGAACAGCAGTTTAGCTTCCAAAGCGGTCGAAGCACTTCAGACCTTTTATTTGTCCTACGCCGGATTGTTAAGATATCGTGGGAGTTCGCCCATAGAGCTTACATGTTTTGCTGACTAGAGAAAGCCTGTGACCTGATTCCGCGCAACAGTCTCTGTGGACATGCCTTCGAGTGTACGGGATGGATGGTCAGATGCTAAGAGCCATCCAGTTACTGTATTGTGATAGCAGGTGCTGCATCAGAGTAAATGGCGCTAAGTGAAAATCTTTCAACGTTGGCACTGGTCTCCGCCAAGGCTGCGTTCTGTTCCCTCCCGTGTTTGTGTTGTATATGGATAGAATAATCGGTCGCAGTCAACGCGATTTGTGTATCAGTTTAGAGAATGTGGAGACGACGGGGTTGCTGTTTGCAGACGACCTTGTTTTGTTGGCATGTTTTGAAACTG